AATCACCGATGCCCCTAGCACCCAAACAGCAGGTCCACCCACTCACCACATAACACCTCATTGGCCGCGTGTCGACCATCCTAAAACAGCCTAGAACAAACTCAACTCTACACCTCGCGCTTTCGTCTCTCTATCAAGATCAACTTCATTATCGCCCCTTTCCAGCGCTCTATCTAGTATCTCCTCTAAGATTAGCGCATTCGGCGTGTCGCGGTATGCATCGCAGATACTTCCGCACCGACGCAGTGTGCGTACCCAGGATGGTCGTGTTTGGAGGATGGTTACTTCGAGACGCGCTGCGGTGTAGGGATATAGCATGCTGTTTGTAGCGAGGATGTGAGCGTATTCTTCGCGTTTGCGAGTTTCGTATAGTGCGTCGAGGGTAGCTACTAAACGACATACTAGCATTTCGTTGGATTGTGAGCCAGTTTGTGTGCCCTTTTGGCGTCGAGTCATTAAGATTCCCGATATCCGAAAAGCCTCCCAGAGATGAACGTGCGGAATAGGCCCCTCGTGCCCTTCCCAATCTGCAAAGTCCTTCTCCACATCATCATGTGCCATCCTCCCGAAAATATCGAGAAGACTTCGCGGTAAGCCCGAGACACTTTCGACACCGCCGACTAGTCCACTCGGCGACGCTTTTTGGGCTGAGCGTAGAAAACCCCAGATTCCAAGGGTTGGTGTATCGCGCCCACGGACAAAAGTGGGAATATCCATTATCGCCATTGCTTCAAGCGAAAAGCGATATTCCAGATCTCCAATGAGATGTGCGTTTTTGGACTGCGGGAAGAGATGGTATACCCACATCATGGAATTCAGATGCGCTGTCCATGGAATTCCTTGGAATAACTGCCATACCCAATTAATACTTTCAAGCTTCAAAGTGCTCAAGGTGGAGGACTTACGTGGAGTGTGCAGAGGAAAACACCCGCATTAATCAACCCCTCATCCAACGTCCCGTCAAAGCGACTTAGCTGCTCGCGAAAAAGGCGGAGGCTTTGATTACATAGATCGTGGAATAACGGTGGGGGGTTTCGGGGGTTGGTGTTGTAGACGTGTGTGGCGATTAGGCCGAGATATAGCGGTTCGTTTTGGAGGGCGAGGCGTTGGAGTTC